TCTCTAACCCTTGCTTACTTTTGACCTCCTCTGGCACTCCTATGATGCAAATATTGTTATGTTTCATGTTGTCCCACAGCTCCCTTAGACTGTGCCCTTGTTTTTTAATTGTATTTTTCTTTTTGGATCTTTGATTGAGTGATTTTTTTTCTACCTGTCTTCTCGTTTGCTGATCCAATCAACTACCCCTAATCTGCTGTTCATTCCTGCCAATTTTTTTTAATCTTATTTCTACTATATCATACTTAATTTCCTTCATAGTTTCTATCTTTTTTCATGCTGTTGAGCATCCTTATGATCAGTATTCTGAAATCTCTATCTGATAGATTGCTTATCTCCCTTTCGTTTAGCTCTTTTCCTGAGAAATTCTTTTGTTCTTTCATTTGGGGCTTGTTTTTTGTCTCCACATTTTGGCTTCCTGTTTAGATTTGTTTCTATGTATGAGGTCGATCTGCTAGGACTCACAGTCTTTTGGATGATCTCTGGTGCAGGCCAATGTCAGATACTAATTGCAGCTGGCCTTGAGTACCCTATTTAAAGTTTTCCGCACTCCACAGCTTCTGGTTTCCTCTGTTGGGCCTGGGTGTGTTTGGACAGGACCAATATATGCACCAAGGTCTGCTTTTCTAAGCCCTGCATCCAGAAACAAGTCAGGCAAAAACTCAAAGCCCCCAGAGGCTGTTATTCAGTCTTTTATGAGCCTCAGGCTGTAGAAACTCCACAGGGTGGGGGGGCTGATTGTTATCAGTCTCTTTTGGAGCCTCAGGCTGTAAAAACTACATAGGGTGGGGCCAGAGGTTTTCCAGCAGTATGGGGCAATTACTTCTCCACCAGGCAAAAACTCCTTGGAAGGCAAATGTCTGCCTGAAAAAGACATCCCCTCCAGTATGGGGGAATAACTCAGCACTGGGTCCTGATGGGTGCCCTCTGAGATCTCTTCCCTCAGCCACCGTTCCCTCCTCCCCCCCGATTCTCCTCACACGGCTCCAGTCCACTCTGCCCTCACTCTGCTGGAGCCCAAGGTGAGCGGCTACACACAAAACTTTGTGCACTGGCCCTTTAAGAGGGTGCTGGCATTTCCAACCATCTCTCCCTGGCATTCAGAAACCCAGCTGCATTTCACAGCCAGATGTTATGTGGGCACCTTCCTCAGTTCTGGTGCTCTTGGCTGGGAAGCCCAGCTTGGGGTTTAGACCCCAGAGTGCTTAGTGGGAACCCCCCCCCC